TTATTGGGAAGAATATATATATATATATATATAGCGAAGTTTGCAGAAGATAAGATCATATTTCAACATAATATTATTGGGAAGAATATATATATATATATATATATAGAGAGAGAGAGAGAGAGAGAGAGAGAGAGAGAGAGTTATCATGTGGAGTTAACTTTAAGTGGGGAGGAGCTCTACTCACACCTTAATTCCAACTAGAATATATAAACTATTATTTATCTTATATAACCCATCTTATATAAGGATTTTTTTAATTTTTTTCTTCATAAAGCTCAACATGTTCCCTCCATTTTGTCTTAACACTTATCAAATATAAACACTACGTAGTCGAGTGAAATGAGGTGAATGGAGGTCTTATTTTTGTCCATATCATTATTTGATGGAAAGGCAGATGAAACCGGACGTATACGTCTGATTGTAAGACAAATTGAACTTTGGGTGGTTTTTTTTTTTGGTAAAGAAACTTTGGGTGGTTAATCGTAAAGTTATTTAGTTTGGGATTGGACAAATTTGGAAAACTTCATATATCATTTGTGAAACTTTCCTTTCAAATTTACATTAACCACACGTAATTAACTAATATATGCACTTTAGGGCCTCTTCAAATATGGTTCTTCCCTTGCCCTGCCAATGAGGCAATCGCATAAGGCATTATATTTTAAGTCCATTATGTATGTCTCACGTGACAATGTTTAATTAATTAAAATATTAATACAGTGACATCATGCGTAAACTTTTTGCAAGAATTGATAGTTATTATTCCAACTTGTCATACATAGCCTCTCAACCGTCAAGCACTGTACTAACAGTACGTGGTGTGAAAGGGGTGGCTAATGTTCACCGTGGGGGGCCATGCCATTGCATTATTTGCTAGGTCCACATGGAAACAGGTTAGATTCAGAAGAGTCTCATCGATCTGACAAAGACAAACTATCAGGTGCGAATTAATGTGATTTTGTCCATCTCCGTCTGTTTTTGTTTTTGAAGAATATTTGCCACAAAAATAAAAAATCTATAAACTTGGTTTTAACTGTAAATACACATAAAATCTATATGGGTAATGTTAGAACGAGCAAATTTTTAAGTCAAATTTTATAACTAAATGATATGGTTGTTGATGATTAAATCATTACATTAATGAATGTTGACTAACGTACTTATTTTCTATTAATAACATATTATTTAATTTATAAATTTGATATAAAAATTCGATCTTCTTAACATTATTCAATCCATAAATATCTTTATATGCTAATACAACTTTTTATAAATTGTGCCTCGAACATAATTCATATGGGTATACTACACTAATAGTCTCTCTAGTAGTTCCAGTTCCATTGCGTTAGCATCGTTAGTCCACGTTTAATTAATGTAAATTATGTTTAGAGGATAGATTTTTCAATGTGTCGAAAACACGGAAATGTATATACCGTGTCATAATATAAGTATAGTTGAATACTTTAATAAAAAATTTCACCACTTTTATTATGACACTTGGTGTTTGAAACTGTGTTCCAAGCACATTGAAAATTTCTCCTTTTAGAGTTTAGATTTACAATATATAGAGTCCATCAAATAAATTTACAGATCCAATGATTAATCCTAATGACTATCATGCCTTTATTTTGATTCTTTCAAATTATACACGTTGATTTAATGATGAAATATTTTAGGATCATTTTCCTAGAGTTAATTCAAACATAGTAATTAATTAAAATTTTATCCTTGTTTCATATTGGCTTCGAAAAACATTACCACGCAACAACTAAATAAAAAATAAACAAAAAAGTATTTATTCTCATGGTGTTAGTATAATGAGTTAAGAGTATGATAGGTTCAAAATTTTCATCATACAACCAAACAAATTCGCGGAATCTCAAAACGCGCCGGAAAACAAACTCAACTTACCGGAAATAGTAACCTTACCCATCCGTTTCCAACCAAAATTTAGGGGCCTACTCTGTTGCATGAAATTTTTGTACTTCTGGAACTAAGATTTGAAAAATGTCATATATTGGAAGTTGGCTTCGCAGCTGCTTCCCGTATTAATATCCACCGTCTTATCCAATCATAACTTCTCAAGCTTTGCACATGGCTGACCTCAACTCAAGCCTCAACGAACTGAAATGACCATGTGCCTAACTTTCTCCCATTTAATTTCGTTATTGTGCAGTTAAATAATTAGTTGTTAGGGAGAAAAAAATTTAAATAGTTAGTTGTTAGGGAATGAAAAATTGGTGGAGATCGGATCGCAAGTGGTCATTTATCACAGTAGTGAAAAAATATTGAGTATTTGCATGACGACATGAGTTCAAACTTCGTCGGCGGCTAGTCTAACATCTAATCTAGGCCTGACAATTCCTAACACGACTCGATAACCCAACACGACACGACACGAAATAAACAGGTGTTCGGGTTGACACGATAATGAATCAGGTCGTTATTGGATAACCCATAACGGGTTGATTCGGGTATACACGCAGGTAACACGATACACGATAAGCAAAATATTAATTTTATAATTTTATAACCCTAAAAAAATACTATAATAATTATATATATTAATTTAACAATTTTATACCGCTAAAAACTATAATAATTATATATATATATATATATTAAATTAATTGGGTTTCAAAACATGTATTGGGACACTCGGAGCAAGATGAGGGTTTGGGTTTTCAGAACTTCAAAATCTTCAATGGTGCTCTTCTTGCTAAGCAATGTTGAAGGTTGATCTCTGAGCCGACTTCGTTATGGGCTTCGATTCTCAAGGCTAAGTATTTCCCACATTGTTCTTTTCTTGATGCTCAGCGCAGAAGCCGGGCATCTTGGGTTTAGACTAGCTTATTAGTGGGACGCGATATTCTGTTGCAAGGGGCGCATTGGCAAATCATGGGTGGACGAACTGTGAGGCTTTGGGTTGACCGGTGGCTCCAGTCTCTACCTTTAGGCCATCATCTTCTAGCTGGTACATTACCGATCACCATAAATACCCATGTGGAAACTCTTATTTGTTCATCGTCTCGATCATATAAGATCTTCATTTCCTACAACCCTTCTTATCTATAGAGGATCTTCATGCTATTCTTGACACACACATTGGAGATTCGAGGAGTTGCGATAGGTTCATTTGGTCGGCTACCAAGAATGGCAGGTACTTTGTGAAGACTGGATAACACTGGGTGCAATCTCGATCTCGCTCCCCCCTCCCCTGCCTCGCCTTTGCAATATCATGCTTCATCCCATGTTACACTGAGCTGAGTTTGGAAATTTATATGGCAGCTCCAAACCCTGACAAAGATTTGTAATTTTATATGGAGGACCCTCCATAGAGCTCTGGCCACGATGGATGCTTTGTGTAAGCGGCTTTGCGCCTCTCATCCGAATTGTCCAATATGCCATAATTAGGTGGAGTCAATCAAACATTTATTATTACAATGCCCATGGGTCGAATCCATCTAGCTTGGTGGGATTCTAGGATTAACAAGTATGATGTCTCAAATTGGGTGGAATGGTTATTTTCATTCTCCAATTTTCCTATTGGTTCTAGTGGTGGCCAAATGTATTTACTATCGTATGTTGCTTTCATCTGCTGGCATATTTGGAAAACTAGGTGTAACTTTTTTGCTTGATCATAGACAAATCAATCCCACATAGGTCCTATGTGTTATCACTACATCGATTAGAGCTTTATCTGAAGCTGTCCGCAGGTGTTCAGAGCCCCCTGGACCTTTGATGGTGGTTGATCGGTCATCTCGCTAGTTCCCTCTTACCGTGCCTTACTCAAAAGTTAATTTCGATGCTAGTTGGTCGGCTCAGTCGAGCTCTGGTTTTGTGGGGATTGTCATTCGGGATGATGAGGGTTCTTTCGTTGATGCGATACGACATGTTATTAGGGCTCCATCTGTGGGTGGTGCTGAAGCTGTGGCAATCCTCAAAGGTTGTGAATTTGGTATGGCAATGGGGCTTACAAAAGTTGTTGAATCTGATTCCCATGACTCTATTAATTCTTTGTTGGATTTGATCGAGAATGGCAATTGGGAGGCCTACCTATCCTTAGTGAATGCTAATGGTTAGGGGAGGCCTTTCAAGACTGTCGTTGGTCTTGGATTCCAAGATCAGCCAACATGGAGGCGGACTTGTTGGCGTCACAGCGGTGTGCAGAGATGTGTAATATTTCTTAGGTCAATAGACCCCCATCTTCATTAGTTTTTGTGCTTCAAAATGATGGTTTACCATGTCCTCTGTGAGGGAACATGGGCAGTGGAGGGGGCGACGGAATAGCATGGCTATGATGTCTTTCTTGTAACTCTCTCTGATGTCCATTTTTTTCTTTTGCTGTGTTGTTTGCTTGCCTTGCGGTAGGCTCTCCATGTATGTTTTGGCTTGTTAGCTCGGGTAATGCAAATCCCAGTTTACATAAATAAAAAAAAAAGTAAAAAAATCATACACATTTCTTGAAAAAAAGCTGATCTATAAGGAAAGGGATCCGGAGGATCCATTCTATCAAATCCACCAAATCAATCAATTCGAACCTTTGAAATTTGATCTAACGGCTACAAATAGGGGATTCCTTTAAAAATTATAATAACTTTAGTCGTTGGATCAAATTTTAAGGGTCCAAATTGGGTGGAAGGGATCCGGAGAGGATCCCTTTCCAATCTATAAAAGGTTATGACAACTGAAATAAACAAACAAACACGGAAAAAGCAAAGCCAAAAGCATAACTTCCATGCTACAATAAATCACGGCAAATTAACATTTCTGGTTTTATTTAGAAAAACAAGATTATAAGTTTCAAGTTCGAAGGGTTAGTGTGTACTAAACTTATTTTGATCGGTTCCTTAATATTTGGGACCAAAACCAAATAAGTGGGTTCCAAAATACCACCCATCACATGCATCATCAGAGAGCAGCTTGCATATAAACATATACTACATAACGTTTTACTTCAATAACCTAAAGCATGTAAGTTAAATTTACACATGTACTATAGTATTGAATCAAAACACTACAATGATAATGATAGTACACTTATTTCACATAAGTCCTCGAATCATCATGCATGCATGCAGCTTTTCAGCTGACCTAGCTCTCTCTTGGAAACAAACATAGAGATGCAAACACTTACAATTAGCTTGAGATCTAATTAGTCAAACAAAATAATTAATTATTTTACATTTAATTAATTAACTTGGATCTCAAATCTCATGACCGACCATTGTTGTAGTGCTCTTGCCATGAACCAAGGAGTTCTTGCAATGAGCAATTGCGCCTTGAATTGCACTCTGAAGCTCCTCCATCGATGATCTGTCGCCGTACGATGACGTGCTACTACTAGCGCCGCCACCACCCGAGCCCGTTGGACCCAAAGTGCGGGAAAGAACCCCAGAGCGGCTCGGGGATCCCCGCATTGAAGAAGGGCAGCTAGAAATGCACTCTCTTCTTCTTGGGTACCTGAGGTTACCCGAGAAGGAATGAGAAACTAATACATGATTATTAGAACCACAATCTGTATTATTGTTCCTCGCCGTCGCCGCCGTGCATTTATCGGATGTTTTCGGTGTTGATATTGATGTTGTGGTCATGATCCCCAATCCTCCTCCTCCTCCCCCCATCTTTTGTTGTTGTTGTTGTTGTTGTTTTTGGGAGAGTTTTTCATACAAGGGCTTCACCTTCTTCAAGTACTTACCAATAACCTCCTTGGCAGTAGTGCTCCTGCGTTTAGGTTTCACTGCATTGTTAGACCCGAGTCCCGCCGTGGCGGGGTTGGCGGCGTTGTTGTAAGGATCTGTCGTGTTGTTCGTCTGTACTTTCGGCTCCTTCTTAAACACGGAGGAGAATCTCGACAAGGAAAAGTACTTCTTCTTCGAAACGCTGTCGTTGGAGTGGACGCTCACGTACTTGTTGTTGTTGTAGTTGAAGGCGCGCTTGAACAACGAGTCCTCGTTGTTTTCCTCTGCGACGGAGCTGGGGCGGCGGGAGGAGTCGCATGACTGGTCGGCCAAGAGTACGAGGTCGCTGGCAAAAGAGGAGGTGGAGTCACGTGACTCGTTGGAGGAGCTGCCGGTGGAGTCACGCGACGTGGTGGTGTCGGAGAAGGAAGAGTAGGATGCGGAGGAGGGGAGGCGGAGGTTGCGGACCATGGAGAGGCGAGGGGAGAGGTGGAGAGGGAGGATCTGGCCCTTGTAGAAGAGCTCGTCGGCGGGGCAGAGGGCGTTGGAGGATTTGCGAGGGGAGAGAGATATGGTGAACTCGAAGTCGGAGGAGGAGGAGGAGGAATGGAAGGAGTGGGTGGGTGAGGGTGGTAGTGTTTGTGATTTTTGGTGGAGGTGACGGCGGGGAGGGTGAGGATTGGGTTTGGTCACAGTATTGGTCGGATCTTTTCTCGTCCTCGACGTCTCCATTTTGGTGTGTTGAGCAAATTAAGCTACATGATAATGATTTTTGCGTGATGAGGGCTTTTGTGGTCCATCATTTTTTGGAAAGGAGGTGGGTCGTGTTTTGTACGTTAAATTTTGAGTGGATCTGGGTTTTGAAGCGCACATGGGATGATGGGGGTTTCCATGTTTGAATCCATACTTTTCTCTCTCTGTTTATGAGTACAAGTAACACAAGTGACGTATTTCTTTTCAAGTATTATAATAAAAAAAGATAATGGTAGGGAATCAAAATTTTAAATTAAATTTAGTTTAGAAATTTTGGTTTTTCTAATTTATAAATGAAGTGATTAAAATGTTCCACTTGTATAATAAAAGAAAAAAGGATAAATTAAATGGGAAGTTTTATTGACACTCTAAAAACCTCATTCTACACTCCTCATAAATGTATTTTTCTTTTTAAATATAGAAAATTTGGAGTGTAGAATGAGAATTTTAGAATGCCAATAACAATTCCCAATTAAATTTTCATTTCTTATTTTCATTTCACATTAATTGTATTTTGTTTTTAATCAAGGTTCTTTGACTTTCATCCATGTCATTACTTAAATATTACATATTTACATGTCAATTTTAAAAATAAAAAATTTATTAATTAATCATTCCAAATATATATTTTGTATTTTTCATATACTTCTATTTTTATTTTGTACCAATTTTATAATGTATCAATATTGTTTTTAGTTTTTATTTGTAGCCACATGAATTTTAAATTTTAATATGCACCCATATTTCTTAATATAACTTGTACCATGTTTTTTTTTTTTTTTTTTTTTTTTTTTTTGCTGAATGTACCATATCAATAATAATTTTTTAAAATATATTAATAATTATGTATGTGACATCCCACATCGCCCAGGGAAGTGATCCTTAAATGTATATTCCTATCCCTACCTAGCACGAGGCCTTTTGGGAGCTCACTGGCTTCGGGTTTCGTAGGAACTCCGAAGTTAAGCGAGAAGGGGGCTAGAGCAATCCCATGATGGGTGACCCACTGGGGAAGTTGCTCGTGAGTTCCCAAAAACAAAACCGTGAGGGAATGGTAAGCCCAAAACGGACAATATCGTGCTACGGTGGTGGAGCGGGCCCGGGAAGTAGTCCGCCCCGGGCCGGGATGTGACAAATTGGTATCAGAGCCAATCCCTGGCCGGAAATGTGTCGACGAGGACGTCGGGCCCCTAAAGGGGGTGGATTGTGACATCCCACATCGCCCAGGGAAGTGATCCTTAAATGTATATTCCTATCCCTACCTAGCACGAGGCCTTTTGGGAGCTCACTGGCTTCGGGTTTCGTAGGAACTCCGAAGTTAAGCGAGAAGGGGGCTAGAGCAATCCCATGATGGGTGACCCACTGGGAAGTTGCTCGTGAGTTCCCAAAAACAAAACCGTGAGGGAATGGTAAGCCCAAAGCGGACAATATCGTGTTACGGTGGTGGAGCGGGCCCGGAAAGTAGTCCGCCCCGGGCCGGGATGTAACAATGTAGGTGCATTATTTTTTTTAGAACTATGCGAAGAAAAATATTACTCGATTATTGATTGTTAAGTAATTATTATATTTTTAAAAATATTATTTGAATTTGTTTATATTTTATAATTTGTAGAACATTAAATGCATAATAAGTGCAAAAATTAAATCTCTTAAATAATGTTAGAAATCTCGATCAAACTGTTTTAACAAATAAGATTTCATTCTAATAATTAGTTGGACTAAGAATCGGAAGGAAAACAACCTTAGAAAAACTATATATTATAATTAAAAGTATAATAATGATAGAATAGTGTTCTGAATAAAAATCGTTCCACTCTGTTTTGGCTGACTGCTGTGTTTGATGACACAAGTGGGTACTGATTAGATTGATGCATGTATGGTTAGGTGTCACGTGTCCGAAACGTGAAAGGTGGGGTTTACTTCATGTATAATATGTAAGATATCTTGTGAGTTAACTAGTGCATTAATCGAAGTATCGAAGAAGCCAGGGTGCCACTGTGTGCTGGACTGCAGGCGAGGATCCTTTCCGGATCATTTTTGAGAGGATTTTAGAAATTTTTTAATTATTTTTGTTTATTGTATATCATATTGTTAATTTTTGTTAAATATTATCTATATTTAATTTTAAATAAAAAAATTATAATAATTTTTTGCTGCACGATATACAATTAATGAATTTAATTAAGAGATTCTCACAAAAAGAATCCAGACAGAATCTTCATTCGTTGCATGATCACATAGATTCACTACAATCAATGAGGTTTTGTGTCAGTGTGAAAATAAAAAGATTAAAAATACTTTCAAATACCAATTAGGTCTTGCTTGATAACCGAAACGGTTTATGGCAGCTTTTGACATGAAAAATTGAAAGTAATACCTTAAAAAAAAATATGAGGTGATAAAAAATTCATGAAAAGTTTGACGTTTAAGAGATATTTCTTAGCATTTCTCTTTTGAAAAAACACTTAAATTTGAATAAGTAGTTTGATATGTATTACTAAAAGGATGTGTCACAATTAATAAAAAATAAGTACGTTAATTAATATTTAAATAATAATTCAATCATTAATAATCATATTATTTAATCTATAAAATTTAATCTCCTTAATATTTTTTTTACTAAAATTGCCCTAGTTGTAATCACGATTTTATTTAGTTATTCGGTTAAACCAATGAGTCGTTATTGTAGTAGATAGCAACAACCATTTCATCCGACATGCGTATTTTTTATTTTCCAATGGATTTACATCTTTCATTAATGGAAATTTTTTGATGTAGTGAGTAATAGCTCTGGTTGTTCGCTGTTCAAGAATTTTGCGCGCTCTACGTCTGGAGGATTTGCGAATCCCTCCTGCTTATGTTAAAACTTTCTAGGGCCCGCCTCATGGTATCCAAGTTGAGAGAGATAAATTGAACAAGTATGGCCGCCCTCTATTGGGATGTACTATAAAACCAAAATTCTGGGTCAACTGATGTAGCAGCATTTTGCTGCTTCTCAAAACCAGTTTTTTTTCAAAGTAGGCTGATAAACAGTAAAGTTTAATGAAACTTTCTTAATTCCAATTATAACCTCTTTCTCCTTCTCGCGATCTCCATCCGGCGCATCAACGCCATGTCGTGGAAGAACGTCATAAGCTCCCTGGAAGTGATCTCGAGCGTGCGCGACGGCGGCTCGCAATTGTGGGAGGTGAAGGGGAGGGACGTCTCAATCGTGAGGGTGGTGGAGTCATGGCAACAAATGAGATGGGACGACAGAGAGATGGGGTAAGGGATAAGGTGGAGGTGAAGGGACTCAGGAGATTGGAGCCGGAGGAGGAACTGGGTTTCCGTATGGGTCCAAATACCCCAAAATCATCGCCGCGCAGCTCTCCGACAAATCATCAAGACCGAGTTTCGATGGCAAAGATCCGATTGCAACTGGGTTTTCAGATTTGAAGACAGATCCTCAAAGACGAGGTTGCCCACGTCAAAATACCATAAATTTCACAATTTGTTTTTGGTTTTTGTTTAGCAGAACCTGGGAGGGAGGTGGAGATGGAGGAAGAGAGGGCGGCGGTGGGTGGTGATGGAAGGTTGAGGGGGACCCAAGTTGGGGGTTGGGGGGGGGGGGGGGGAGGACACGACAAATCCTAGAAATCCCATTTAAAAAAATTATACCCTTTTAGTAATTTAATATAATCACAGCAGTTTTATATAAAGTTTACCAAACACTTGAACAAGGAGTTGGAGATGGAGGAAGAGAGGGCGGCGGTGGGTGGTGATGGAAGGTTGAGGGGGACCCAAGTTGGGGGTGGGGGTGGGGGGGGGAGGACACGACAAATCCTAGAAATCCCATTTAAAAAAATTATACCCTTTTAGTAATTTAATATAATCACAACAGTTTTATATAAAGTTTACCAAACACTTGAACATTGTTTTTTTTGTTAAAAGCACTTTTACAATAAAAATTTACCAAACACGTAACTGTTTTATTTTACAACTATTTATTTTTACAGTACAATATAAGCAATTTTTTTTTAAAAAGTATAACAATACCAAGCTAACCCTTCTAATCGAAGCTTTGAGCCAATCTCAACATTTTTATTTAGTTTTGAGAAATGCTAATGGACTCTCTAAAAACTCAAAGTAACTACATGAAATGACAAAAAGTTAATAAAAAAAAATCTCAATTTTAAGAGTCTTTTTAGCATTGTTCTTTATTTTTATATCGAAACCAAAGCACACACAACCATCTCATCATTGTACGTTTGTTATTTATTTATTATCGAGGGACCATATGGCAAGTGGCACTTTTAATTCTAAGGTTTGATCCCTTCCAGATAGGATAGATTTGACCTTTTAAGGTCCGTCCGGCCAGAATCAAGGTTTTAATGGAAATACAGATTTCCCGTATCCTGTGATTGATTTAAGACGTTAATCTCGCGGACTCGGTGTGAAAGATTCATATGCGGGCGTCGTTAAATTTTTTTCTTCAATTTTTTTAGGAAAGTGTTATTGGTATTCTAAAAGTTTCATTCTACATTTTTTATAAATGAATTTTTCTTTCCTAATATAAAAGTTTGAAATGTAAAATAAGATTTTTAGAATGCTAATAACAATTTTTTTTTTTATTGAGATATTTATTTGAACACTTCGTGGGCCAATCATTATGTATAGATTTGTCTTCCCGCTTGATGTTCAGACCTATCAAGTATCACTTGCCGATGCATGCCAAATTTTGCTGAATGGGCATTTCATCAACTTGTTTGGGCATTTTCAGGTCTCATATCATGGTCATAGGGTCCTTGGAGACATTTCCCCCATATTTCTCGATTTTCATAGGATCTCAGGACCAAGGGTACCCCTTTGGAACCGCTCCTGTATGTATCAATTTTTTAAAGCTCGCACGACAGAGAATTTTAATGAGGCCCTACTAGTGCATTTTATCTTCTTATACGGTTTTTTTTTTTTTTTGTGATGATTGTTTTTCCAAGTCGGAAAGTTATGATTCTCAAATTATAATTAGATTTCGTAAAGGCTGTTACTCTCGAGGAAAAATAATAAGTGTCATGGATATAGAGAGAGTCGTAATTCCCTAAACACGGTTTATTAACCGTGGAAGAGTACGGCAGTAGAGTTGCAAGTGCAACTAGATTCGA